TATTTATCTCGATATTCTCGCGACCAAGATGATGATTTATTTGATATCGATTATGGTATTGGCAGCAAAAAAAGACTTGTTCAATTCTTCATATACAGATAAACACCTTTTAAGGGACCCCCCTCTCAAAAACCAACTTTGTCATTTCCCATCCGATTTCAAAGAAAATTTCAGAGAATGTTAGTCTTGGCTAGTGGAGACTGTGGTTAAAATATCTCCCCAAATCTCTAAGAAATGAATGAGTTACAGTCAATTTATTGGTTAAAAGTATCCTCCACGCGGGCAAAGTTTTCGATATAAGAATATTGGCTAAGCATGTCGGCGTGGTTTTCAATTTGTAGAGCACCCCGAGGGTTAGATCCTAATAGAGCCCGATTTTTTAATTCCCATTTGTTTGCTTTTTAAAAAAACTTTTCCCAAGAAATTCTCAAATTCGTGGCCAAAAGATCGCTAATTAAAATCAAAGATCTAAGTTTTTTATTAAAACAAACGAGAAATTCAAAAAGCGGGCTCTGTTAGGATCTAGCCCCAAGTGCCTGCTCTATAACAAAAAAGCATTACTACTTTTATATTGAGTCATTATTGAGTAAGGTTTGCCCGCGTAAACAGTACACTCGAAAAAATGGATTTTGAGAAAAACGGGAAATAAGTTTTTAAAAACCTTATTTTTTCAATATGAAGGTTCAGAAAATCATGTGTAATATCTTTAAACCTCATCATAAAATCAATCAACTATAGTGCATTCGAGAGTAGACACTTTGCTCTATCTAACGAGTTATAAATCTCAAAATCGATAAATTTGACCAAAATTGACTTTTTTGAGGGGGGTACCCCCTTAACAGCAATGCTATTACGACCACGAATACACCAATCAAAACCAATAAAGGCTACAACAAATATTGATTCTTTTCCTGATGCTGATCGTGGCTATATTCTTGATAGTGATCCTAATACACTAAACACTAAACCTATTCGACCTAAATTTTGGTCAAACTATTTTGGCAGTACAAAAAGCTTGTTAGCGCAGCTCCTGCGGAGCTGAAATGTGGAACTCACGAATACCTTTAGCTTTGTTACCTGACGTATCATCTGTATACTGAAAGAC